GGGCCGGGACAGTGGAAAGCAATACTCACAATGTAGAAGTCCACCTCATACAGCGTGCAGCCGAAGCCTGGCCACTGCTTGGCGATGTTGAGGTAAGCAGTCATGCACTTTTGCGGGCTGCAGCCCTGCAGGCCCTTCCAGCGCTCCACGATGGCGCCCATCACCGCCGCCGCCTCCTCCTTCAGCCGCCCCCGCAGCCGCAGGCCTTCTTCCGCCCTCTGCTTGTGCGCGGCGGCCGCCGTGTGGCTCCACAGCGCCCCCGAGAGGAGGCCGGCGGGGAAGCGCTGGCCGCAGCCGGCCGGGGGAGCCGGGGGAGGCGGGGCGGAAGGGGGCTGGGGGTTCCTGAGAGAGGCCAGCGCCCGGGCCTCCACCACGCGGCCGGGGAAGAGCTCGTCCAGCGACGGGAGGGGGGTGTGGGTGCCGAAGTCTCCGTTCAAGGCCTGGAGCCGCAGGGCCGCCAGGGACTGCAGGTCCTCTTCCGACGCCGGCAGCTGACCCCGGATCACCATGTCATGGCACTGGACACAGAAACACGCGGCTATAACCCATCGCCCTCCCAGGACAAGCTGGCAATCCACAGAAATCCTGCACTCTGCACACTATGACACTATGCTAAAAGGTAGGGCATTCCTAGCATGATGCACTATGAAAGCATAGATTTAGCATTTTATTTTTATCCAAGTAAACTGTGGATGCTTTGTACCGAGAAAAAACAATTAACGAACAGCTCTTTGCTGTGATTTCACTGATCCATTTTCCAATTTGAGGGTGACCCAAAATTCTGCACTTATGTGGGCAGGGGAGTATGTCACAACTCACGCCATGCTTGTGTAGTCAAGGCTTGTGTATGCTTTTTTAGGACTGACTGTGTTCCAATTTTTGTAATTTTGTGCAACAGCCATTCTGAGAGCAGCTTAAAATGCACTGAATGACAGTGCAAATCGAACAAACCCGGACTGAGTTCTCCTTTAAATATTAATGTTCTGTTACCAGTTGCAACACCTTTTGGCATTTTGTTTAGTATTGTGTTCAACCCAACAGAACATTGCATTATGTTGAATCTCTCTGCCAGAATATGGAGCCCAGCTTTCTAACTAGGGGTCACCCAGGATCCTGTTTCTGGAACCCTGAGATGATCCTGTAGCGAATACCAATTACCTAACAAAAACAGGAAGCACATGCTTTTGTTGTGTTTCAGTAATCGGATAGCCGGATATTTGGAGGGGGTGAGGCAGGGGACAAAGCTCTGGCGATGGCAACAAATCTTTGTGGCTTGCCCGCTCGGCACCCCGTTCCCTATCGCACCCTTTCATACCTGTTCGAAGAGGAAGAGGTGCTCAATGCTGTCTGTGGAGATTCCGTCTGTGTCCAGGAAACAGTAGAGCTTGAAACAGAGTCGCCACTGACCTTCTGAGCTGGGATCCTTAGCGAAAAGACTGCAGGGAAAAAAGAGCCGAGTATCACAGGGGTTGATCAGGGTCACAAAGGAAGGCATTCTGCAACTCTGGTGTGTCAGAAAGGAAGACCCACACAGACAAGTGTTCTTCTTTTACTATAAATCATTCCTTTAACTGTGCACCTATGATGAGGGTTTTCAGTCAATTGATTTATTAGTTTATTAGGATATATAGAGAGGGAACAATTTAAACAAAGCTGGCATTAAAACAGGGTGTAAGGCACAGTCACATATGACTGATTTTTCTGTGCTCTTAGTCCTGTTAGGTGCAGCGGTGGTTTGAAAAGGAGTACTATTTTTTCCTGATGAACATTTGCACACGTTATGTATATTAATGAGATTTCAGATGGAAGACATGGAAATTGCAGAGGTCTGTAACATCAGAAGCCTTCCTGTGCCTCCAGTGTGGTCTGCTCAGCTGGGCGGGATATTTACTTTTCAAACCTGGTTAGGATGTCGGCAATGATGGTGCTGCCCCCTACTGCCCGCTCCCAGTGCGCGTTCTGCTCGAACAGCGCAAAGGTGTTCTGGCTGTGCTGCAGGCCCAGCTGCTCGGAGATCTTCTTCACCACCTGCAAACGCACAACCAAGGGGGCCAACGCAGTGAGCTGCATGCTCATCAAGATCCAGCTCTCCAGACACGTAGCGTAAGCTGACAACCTACAAAAAGCACTTTCTAAAGCCAAGTGCTTCTTGAAATGAAAGAAGAGCTCCATGCAAAGGAAAAAAAAAACATTTTGTTTAAGCTCTACAGCAAGAGTGATATAACGTTTTGCACTGCAAGTTGACTGCATCAGGCAGACAGGCTGTTTAGTTACTGGTGACAGGTACGTTAACAACAGAATATCCAGGGCCACACCCCCTCACCTCGTCGGCCGTGGTGTGCGAGGTGATGGGCAGCTGGCAGGAGCTGTGGCCAGGGTAGTACACTGTGCACAGCATCTCCTGCCGGTTCAGTAGCACCTGGATCTCTTCCAGGGACGGCACACACTCCCGGCCTTTGGTCTTCTCCAGAGCCTCCGATATAAAAGCCGCATAGTTATCCATCTCGGTGTCGGGACACTGGCTCTGCACCCTGGGACAAACACAGTCGCACAGGCCAGGGCAAGGTCAGGAGTGGAGCGATCACTGGGCTACAGACCCGTGATCGCTGTCCTGAGAAAATGGATGCTGTTTTCAGCCCAGTTAATGTAATGTAATGTTTCTTTATTAGCCCTATACAATTTCTTGCATTAGGAATTTGTCTTTTCACATACCCCAGCTTTTCTCCATGGAGACACAGACACACAGACAGGGAGAGAAGCTGGGGGTCAGAGCGCAGGGTCTGCCATTGTACGGCGCACCTGGAGCAGTTAGGGTTAAGGGCCTTGCTCAGGGGCCCAACGGAGTAGGATTCCTCTGCCGGCCGCGGGATTTGAACCGGCAACCTTCCAGTCACAGGCGCAGATCCTTAGCCACAGAGCCAAGTGTGAACATTTTGCAGGACCTCGAGATACAGCCTATAATATAACCCACTGTATATGAGCATGGAAAAACGCAACCACTACCTGGCTATGTGTAAGAGACTAAATGTGGGACTGATGTGATAAAATGGTGTCATCTTGGCTAAAACTGGACATTTCAAAGATTGCTTTGGTATAAAATCGACCTAAATTCTTAAATCATCCTGAAAGTGTCTTCCATTTTTCCAGTGTCCTAATTACAAATAAATGCAACCTTACGCATTCCTTGACTTCAGTGTAATTTGGGACTACTTTATCTGGTTAATGGCTGTAAGGATGCAGATTTTGCCAAAAAAGGCACATGAACATAAAACACTGAGATGAACTTTCCGCAGGATTAAAACGGGAAAAAAGCTGCATTCCGCTCGTGTGAACAGAAGCCGTTTAATTCACCCTTGTGGTTCTACCACTGTGGCAAACAGATGTTACAGCCACTGGCGCTGCATTGTCCCAAGCAGGGCCACTGCACAAAAGGTATTTCTTGTTAAAGGTTTCTCGGCACTCCCCACCAACAGGAAGTCATTTGATGGCACGGACCTGATGTTTCCTAAAATAAATTGTGAGAGGCACTCTGTGGTGGTAGTTTGCTTTTTATTAGGCACAGAACGAAGTTTGTTCTGCCACATAATTAGGAAACTTCCACTGCATTCCTGTGCGATTTCTGTCTCCAACATCCCCCCCTCCAGCCATTAGAGCCTAGAACTTGGGCATGTCTTTGTTTCGATCTCAGACGCCACAAAAGGTTGAGCGCACTGTGTTGCGCACTGAGGGTAGTGGGAGTATCTCTGGCGCAGGGAAAGGCAGACTAGCTGATCCCCAGCTTCGTGGAGCCCCTGGTATCACAAGCCCCTTTTTGTTCTGAAATTACTTATTGTTTATCATTTACCGGATTTATCAAAAGGGGATTCAGTTCCTTAAATGCAAAACTGCCTTTTTTCTGGCTGACCCATTTAACACAGTTTTTTGGGTGCTATTTAAGATGTACAGTACTGTGAAACAGCACCTGAAAAGACACTTGTGCCTTTTTATCCTTAGAAATTTGCTGTATTAATGTGACAGTTTCAGATATTTTGAGCGTGTCTTGATTTAGTTTGGAAAATGGTCACAGGCTCTTAACATTCAGTCTTTTTAATCTATCATTTTCAATGGCTGTGTTGTGCACATGGCATTCATAACAGATTATATTCTTATAGCTCAGCAGAAAGTTAATTTCCTTTCTTAGAGCATTACTGAATGGTTAGAATGACATTGAAAAAGGCAGTTTCGCCTTTTAAATTTGAATTGAACAGTTTGAGAACAGGACATTTCTAATTAAGGTCAGAATAAATCCAAAGCAGTCAGCTCACATCAAAGAATTTTGTGTTGTTAAGATAAAAAGAACTTGCTGTTTTTCGCATTTCATGATATTTTGGGCCAGTGAAGGTTTTTTTCCCGAACATCGGAAACTATCGGACCTCCACAAGCATGACAAACACATATGGTTGGAACCCCACAAATATGACTAGATATGTTGACAAAATGCTCATGAACGGTTAATCAGAGCCAGTGTGGGCTCTGAGCGGGGTGCCTACCGCTTCAGGTGGAAGCGCAGGTACTTGCGCACAGGCAGGCCGGGCAGGAAGGTGCAGCTCATGCAGGTGAGGAGCTGCCAGTAGCGCAGGTGGGCGGCGGTGCTGGGGGCGGGCACGCCGCTGGTCTGCTTCACCAGCTGGCAGTAGACCTCGTCGCGCAGGGGGTGCAGGTCCAGGCAGGTCTGCAGCACCCCCTGGATGAGGGGCACGGGGTCCCGCGCCGACTCCAGCTGCTGCAGGGAGTTGAAGACCTTCACAGCCTCGTCCCGCAGGGTGGTGTACCCCTTCCCAGTGTGGCCTGCTGGGACAGGACAGACATTGCCGCGCCAGTGTGGAACTATCCCATCATCCTGAAACCACCAACCATCGCTACGCCACCCTGTGCTTTGTGCTTTTTTCCCCAAAACAAAATACTACAAATCCCAACTGTAACATGATGTGTTACAAACATGCAGCAATTGTACAATTCAAGACACATCTGCAGATTTCAGCACAATACCTTTTTTCTTACAGTTAGTCATGAATGGTAATATAATGTTTGCTAAACTGTACGAATTTCTCAAGAACACATTTTCAAAATGTATTCACCCTGGCAAGGGACAGATAAAACGCAATCGTGAAAAGGGTTCAAGATTCACACTTTGGAGTGAAAGAGACCCGAATCACAGCAGGGAATTTCCTCTTTTACAGATTTGGAATTTTTGCACTAAGTGGAGCCAATGCATTATTTCTTGCTCAGAAATTAAATCAAGAACCAAAACAGAAGTTAGAAAGATGTGTAAAGGGGGAGACACTTCTTTACAAAAAGGGTAGCAGGTGCCTGGAACAAACTACCCGGGTTTACTACGCTGTCGAAGCCGAATCCTGGAATTCTTCAATGATGCGATCTGTGAATGAGATACGTGCTCTCCAATGAGCCCTTGAATTGCCTCCTCTCCTTCTAACCTTCTTAATGTTCCTATGGTCTGAAGGGAACCTACAGGTACATCTATGTCCACAACTGTACAGCAACATTTTCTGCCAGATTTGAAGTTATGCATATCCTGCACATATAGATTATTTGTTGTGTGTTGCAGCCTGCTATTCTGCATATTTAACTTGGATATACAGTACAGTGCTCGTCTCCTGAGCCTCTAATCTAAGCACAGTCTACATGGGAGGCGGTGTAGGTCAGGGCGCACAAGGCTGAGATCACTCACAGGTGTGGTCCAGGCTACCGTAAGGGAAGGGCAGCAGTGGGGCATAGAGGGGACTCTGAGTGTACTTCAGGATGGGATTGTGATTGTAGATGTGCTCCACCACCTCAGGGTTGAACTTGTTCTCCTGTGGAAACAGACAAGAATAGGCTCTGCTGCATGGTCCGAAACGTCAAGCATTTAATAAGCATTTCTTATTTTCATTTTCCTGACACTTTTACCAAGAGTAACTTTCAATCGCTCCCAATGAAAGCGATTTTCTCCAGCAGTGCATGCTGCTTTTCTATAGCTTGGCTTTCAGAGAGCTTGCTGGTAAAGGGGTTAGACAGCCCTGAAAGGACACAAGGGGTCTCATTCCCTAATAGTTCTCACACAATAACACCAGTCTTACCCAAGGATTGGGCACACTCCATTAAATACTATATACATCAACAACGATGCTCAATAACACACACATACCTTAAAAAACAAGACATGTACGCAACATTAGCTTTAGCTGAATTTGCAAGATGCATGGCTATACATTCAAATGACGTGGAAAGATGGTACTAATGAACATAATGATCTGCACACAGAGTTTGCTGAACCATGTGATTTATCAGGGACACTTACACAGGACCAGTATCCTAAGGACAGTCATATCCAGAAATGTTTCTGTGAGAGTGCTGTGCTGACAAGACACTGGCTATTACAAGTGCATCTTTCTCTCACTGGAACTGCTAATGATAAGGAGCAGTTTTTGTTATGACAACAGCCTCTTTTTAAGTGACCCAACAGTATGCAAAAGTTGAGCAATGCAGAATGGTCATCCAGTCAGCAGAAAGCTCTGTCCTGACTTACACGTGAAGGGGCGTGCCATTCTTGGACTAAATTAGGCACCCTTTCGTGGATCACTGGGAAAAATGCTGCGATCAGTCCAGAAACCTTAGCAAGGTGAAAAGGCCTGAACATGAAATGAAAAGCTTTTTGGACCAAGCAGAGTGTAAATGATTTGAAAAAAAACAACAACAAATGCTTTGCAGCAATTAACATTGACTCCGAACAATCATGACTCCAATAAAAAATAAGTTCTGTATATGAAAGCAAGAACTGAAGAGTCCTTTTAGTTACAGATGTTACAGCAGCTTTGCCTGGGAATGTACACTTTCAGCGCCTACAGAGTCTCTCCCACAGGCAAGAGAGGTTATCTATAGTGTTGTTCTACGGTGCTTTGGCAAACAGGAACTGCCCTATGGAGTCTTCAGGAGATAAGGAAATGAAATGGGATTGATGTGGGAGCTAAATGTGGAGCTCATTTATTATTAACCAGACTGCCTGACAACCAATCAATGGGCTAAATCTGGGCAAGGGTGACTTGCTGTTCCACTGTCTTCGAGAGCCTTGATTCTCACAGCCTGTAGGTCTCCTACATGTTCCCAATGGAGTGGGCTGATCCTTGCTGTTATTATTAGGCCTTGGAGACAAGGAATTTATTTCCTTTATATTCACCTGCTCATTAGTGTATATCCCTGGTAGAATATAAAAGCAGCATTTGTAATCTAAAAGCATTAGTTCCTTTGATTCCCATGTGGAACAACTGGCTAATTTGTGTAAGACAATTTTATCTTTTTTTATGACAATCTGATCCTCTCAGCTTTGGGTTTAGCATCAATGCAATATTTGCGAAGTTGCTTTAACAAATAGCAAGCAATTTTTGCTCGCAGTGTGGAAACTTCTACTTAAGAAGAATCTTTTACAAAGTCATCTAAAAAGAGACAGGCCAAGGTCTAGTATAATTGGGAAGTCATGAAAAACTGTTTTATTTTTCTGGAATTGGCCCAACAATGGTTTACAAGTAACAAAATAGAACACTCTGTTGATTTAGGGTCTTCATGTTTGCTAATTATAAATGTACACATTAAAACATAGCCAAACAATAGGGATTTAAAACTGAGATGAACCCGCTGCTAACAAAAAGCCACATTGCAGACAGACTGCACTATAAAGGACTGAGCACATTTTAGTTGTCAAAGCTAGGAGAGATGGGGGAAAGGTTTTGTCTGGCCTGGAGAATGGTAATTTTTAGTTTGGGGTTGTATTTTATAGTGTTTAGTGAAATAAAAAAATCTTCCCAAACAATGGAGGTGATTTCCAGCAATGCACTGGTGTTTCCTCGCATTGAATACAAACTAAAAAAAGAGGAACTGAATGAACAGTGTTTTGCAACACAGGCCATTTTCAGGATGTTGGCTTTTTAAGTATTTCTGCAAACCCCACTTTGTGAATCCACCCAAAATCTCTTTTAGTTCTTAGTCATGTCTCACCTTGTCAGACACTCCTTATGTGAAGGTTTATATCCTGTGTTGGATGTAACAATAACTGCTTACACTTACAGTATAAGGCACTTTTCTGGACACTCCACTGAAAGTGCTTTACAGGTCACGGGGATCCCACTACCGCCACCAGTGTGCAGCCCCAACTGGATGATGCGCCAGTACTCTCACCACACACCAGCTCTCAGTGGGGAGGAGAACAGAGTGATGGAGCCCGTTCAGAGATGTGGATTGTTAGGGGGACATGACGGGTAAAGAGCAGGAGGAAATTTGGCCAGGACACTGGGGTAACACCCCAATTTTTTTTAGACACATCCTGTGATATTTAATGACCAGGGAGAGTCAGGACCCCGGTTTTACATCTTATCTGAAGGACCGCACCTTTTTTGTGTACATAGTGTCCCCTCACTATACTGGGGCATTAAGTCCCACACAATTCATGTCCTAATGTGATATGAAACTCCCAAAATTCTTTTCAGAATCAGCCCAAAAAATAAACTGAAAACATTACCATTAACACATTTGTTCAACACCTCCCTGTTGCAACAGACATAATAAATAAAAGTAGGAGTTATATTTCTCGCATACTGAAACACCTGGCACAACATGAAGCAAACTCAAACAACCACATCTGATAGTTTGATTTTACATATCATGCAGGAGACTGATGTGCCTGTGCTTGAAAGTTTCTGCAAGAATATTGGACAAAATATCGGGGGGGGGGGTTGATGTGTTGAGGAAGGCTCATTTGCATGTGTCACGTCCCAAGTGGTGTTTGAAGAGAAACCTGCTATTTCTGATTCACGTGACAGAATTGCTAAGCAAAATCCCAACCAGAAAACGAGGAAAAAGGATGCTGACTCTTGGAAAAAGTGGCTGTAGAGGCGGGGGGTACAGTACTTACCCTAATACTAAGAACAGCAAATAGAAAAAAGTACCTCAATGTCCCGAATCAGCAGCTGTGTGGGCGTCTCTACTGGGGCTTTACTCTCAATGACCTTCTGGATGGCACAGGCCCAGTGCACCGCCTCGTTGAAGTGCTTGGTGAAGAGGCGGTAGCAGTGCTTGCGGCCGTACACGGTGATGCTCCAGTACCCTGCGGCGCACACAACCACAAAACGAAGGCCAGGTGAGCACCGCAGTCGCACACTGATGCCCACGGCAAAAGAGGAAAACTCCCCCCTTGCCCCCCCATGACGCCGTGCTGAAGGCCTTCGCCTCGAAGAACGATTGGCTTCCCTACTGTAATGTAACACAGATGGCAGTTGTATTTTGTGGGGTAAAGGTCCTTTTGTCACGTGAAACAAACACAAATCTCGCCTGAGACAAGACTAAATGCCCCTTAACGCAAAATGAAAATGTTGGTCCTATATCAATAGCTCGATGCATTTTGTATGATCCCTCCAAGAGGATGAAAGCTCTTTCAGTCTCAAAGCTACAATTCTGAGATGGCAGCTGACATGATGGCACAGGCCTGACGGCCTTACTAAGACACAGGTGCTGACCATCTATGTTATGTCATGGCCATGTTATGCCATTCAAGGATGTTATGGAGGGGTTAGCATTTGAACCCTGGCTCTGCCCCCAGCTATGACTTTGTGCAAGCTTAACCTGCACGACTCCTATATCCTATAGAGAAAGCAAATCTATCCCAGAATTCCAAATCTATCTCTCTAACAAACCTAATCCCAGAATTCCCAATCACCTGCCAGAATCAGAACAGTTTCCTGTCCTACTTGGCAGGGGGGGGCACAAAAGACCTCCTGTCACAGCCTGAGGAACAGTGAGTCTGTCTCACCCTAATACTTAACGCTGTATGTAAATGTCTGTACATGTTGTGTTAATTGTACCTGTTTTGGCAACACTGTAATTCATTGATCATGCCAATAAAGCTCTTTGAACTACCATTTGAATGTTAAAATTGTCCTGCACGTAACTGTGCCACCACTGCCATCGATGTATTTTTTCAAATTGACACGAATTCCAGTTTAAAATGATAACGATGGCAGAGGTGAAGACCCTTTCTCACTACGCCAGTCCCAGATACCGAAAAAAGGTTAAGAAGTGAGCATTGGTAAGAAAACTGAATTGTCTTCTGCTATTGCACTTTGCTTGATTACTGAATTTATTCCACTTTATTCCACCAAGTTTTTTTGGGTTTTTTTGAAGGATTTCACTAATTCCGTGCTCATAAATGACAACCCACAGAAGTGACACCATTCAGGGAGACATAGCTGTGTTTACTGTAAGAGGGGCAACTGACTAAGAGATTGGAGTTTCCCTTTCTAGTTGTTTGGGGAACCTGGTCACAGGCTCTGTCTCCATTTGTTCCTCTTGTGGTTTCCTGTTGGGTTTAGGGTCTCTAGCAATTCCACTCTTTACAAAAAAAAAAATCACAAAAACCCTTGAGCTCCATGCGAACTAATGACACACTACACAATGTGCACAGAAACCTACCGCTATCTGGTATTCTGGGAATATCCAAAGGCTCAGAAATGGTACATTAATCCTTTGCTCACATTCTGATTGTAAAGCATGAAAGCATCCACAGCGTCCATAATCTGGAAAGAACTACAACTGCTTTAGGACGAAAGTGCACAAAGATGGGCGTATGTACAGAATTTCTGAACACACTAATATAAAAATTAGAACACACAGAGATTAGCAAATAATTACCACTTCTGTTTTTTTTCTGAACAAGACTTTGCACTGGTGGCATTATAAAAAGGGAAAAATGACCTCATCACCTGAATTTAAAATGACATACTTTGATATTACACATGATTAAAAATCTACTTTACATAAAATACTGCTTGACATGGGTATACTGTATATATCCTTATATACTGTACATATCTTAAATTAGCTCAGAATAGCATCTTAATGAATGATTATCAGGATGAATGAGCATTCAATATAATCGTAACACTTGCAAGTATAGTTTAATGAAAAATATTCTGTATATACACGAAAAGCTTGTTTCAGATTCAGTGCATGACTGCATAATGCAAACTGTAAAAATCGATCAAAAGTACCACTGATGATGAAATACTAAACATTCAACAGCTGCCACAGTGAAAAGTCAAGATCAAAGCTTATCACTCTTATTTTCTGCTTATTTGAAGTGTGATTCTTGATGCTCAGAAGGAAGGTACAGTGCTTTAAAATTACAACTTTACAAGGACTTTTTTTTTCTTCGACTTGGCTGGGGGAGTTTTTGCTCTCTAGAGGAAGAGATGGCATTTTCCTAGCGAGAGCGGTGTACCATGTGATCAATGCACTTTCAGATGCAGAGTGAGTCACCTAAGACACACGAGAGTGCTTAGGGCATAACTATGGACGCTGTGCAATTTAGTTGCAGATAACAGGGGTATGAAGGGAATTAACCTTTTTCAGTGGAAAGTCCCACACTAAGGCGTTTTTATTTCAGGGAACACTTTCAAAGGAATATTTGTTTCAACTCCCCAAAAAATAAATAAACGCAAAATTCTCAAGTCATCTCGAGTCTCAAGTCTGGAACTGTGAACAACTGTAATCGAAGGGAAACTATTCCTATGGTTTGAACAAACAATTAATCACTGATACAACAGACGCTGCACAGTGACTCATCTCCAGCCAGATGCCCCAAGTCAACCCATCCCATTGTGGGTGTCACTGCATCAACCTGTTCTGGTTACTTGCGAGAAAATTAAACATCTACAAAAATGCTTTTTTTGTATTTCGTAACAGAATCTGGGTATTTTGTAACAATATGAACAGAAAAGACAAGACTTCTAGCTTTTGCTGTTTTTATAGATATACAGCACCGTCCAAAACAGGTGCTTACCCCCTGAAGCATGAAGTAACAAAGGTGTGTTTAGACCATGTCAAAGAGTACAACACACACACAGAGTGCAGGCAAGTTTATACTGATACCTGAGCTTCTTGTTCGGCTCCAGTTCACCTCTGACCGAGAGACTTTCAACAGGGTAGTTTCTACAGAACACTGGACAGCTTCTTCTGTTTACTCCCTCACTTGTATATTTTGAAGAATTTCCATTTTAAAGCAGCAGCCTGTATCGACCTCTGTGAGGTGGATGGTTTTCCCAGAGGCCAGGTGCTTCAGAGGTTAAGGGGAAATCGCTAATTGCCAGGACAGGAGATTGTAAGTTCAAGTGTATGTCCCTAACTCACTGTGTGTCACCTTGAGCAAAGTCACTAAAAGTCTGGAATAAGACATAAAACTCAGATCATCATTTAACTGGATCTGGTGCAGCCATTACTGATGCATCCTTCAGCTCCTGCTCTCTCAATAGCTTTGGATATATGTCTAATAATAATAATAATAATAATAATGTCTTAACTACTACTTAACTACTAATAGACTACCTTTAACTACTAGCTGTTAAAGGTAAGGTTGCACAAGGTCATTCCTCTAGCAAAAACTGCCCACTGCCATTCTCCAGCAAACATTCAAAGATCCTGTAACACAGCCCGGAGACAGAGAAGCGTCTCCTTCGTCACTAGCTGATGGCACAGGCAGCACCGCCACAAGGAGATCTCACCGGTTTCCTTGTAGGTCTGCTTGTCGGGCCAGATGACGGAGCAGAGGCTGGTCAGGACCAGCGCCCCCAGTCTCTTGGCCGTCTGGTCGTTGCTGGTGTAGTAATCCAGGGAGTCCGGCGTCAGCACGAACCAGTGGCGCTTCTGCCAAATCCAGCCACCTCTCACCTCTCGGTACAGCCACCCTGTAGCACAGACACACACACAGCAGCCTCTTTAGAGCGTGGGTGGATGGAAAGAGAGGGCAAGGCATCTAAAAGATGACAATGTAGAAAGCCAATCGGAAGCCACAAGCTGCTGCTCACGAGAAACTCCCATGTAAAGGCCTACAGGATAGGCCTTTCAGGGCTGACACATGAGAGGAACGATTTCTGCCTTTACTCCCAAGATCATCTACTGGAAGAGTTGTAATTAACACTCCCGCCATGATACAACAAACAGGTCCGATGCAGAGGTTATCTGCATGCAACGCACAACACCAAGCACGCAGAAGAGCAGACACAAACACAGCACTGTCTGTCAGGGGCCTTGAGTATCAGGCAAGAGCCTGAGGCAGACGGCCGCTGGAAAAGGCTGATGATTATGTGTTGTAGGAAAAATTGCCACTTTAATAAAGCAAGGGCACTGTGTTGGCTGTTAAAAATTATTTTGCTTGATTCTGTTTAGTAAGAGTCAAGCAAATTTGAAAAACTGAAGTATTGCAGACTTTGCCTCGACACTGAAGACTACTAATAGTAGTACTGTAGTACTACTAAACTAACTTGGCATACTATTCTAATATACAGTATGCCACTGTTATCTTTGTCTCTTGACTGGATGCAATTGTATGTCACTTTGGATAAAAGCATTTGCCAAATGAATAAATGCAAACGTAAGACCAGCTACACTGATGCCAGAGCCCAGCAGGATAAATTTAATTCATGAAAGTTAATCCAGATTTCTCATATAATACAGAGTTTTAACGCCACCAGCAGAACAGTATGGCATCAACAGTTTTCGCCTAAAAATCCCTTCTAGTCAGAGAGCTCAAAGTTAATAGTTGTTATATGACTACTTATTTAGCCCATGAGGTTCATTCTTTGCACGTGTAACACCCATTAATTTGAGAATTCCGATTCAGTACAAGAAACTAGGGATCTAAATCTGCCTTTAGATGACAATGCCTTGCTTACAAAAGGAACAAATGTAGGTGAGCAATGAGTTCTGTTTCGTTTTAAAGAAAAGGCACATTTAACTGACTGAACTAAATTAAGAACCAGTGTTGTATTTCCTCAAGGATAATGAAATCTTGTCTTTCTTCATAATAAGGGGCTTTGTGGGGGTAAAGATCATCAGAACAGAACATGTGTAATGGTTTTAAAAATAAAAATGAGCTAAGACAAATGCATTTGGACAGATGTGCAGCTGTGATATCCACAGCCTTGGAAACCAAAACAAGGCAATATCCCTGCTAGCCGCAGATAACGTGTGCTGCAGACATTCAAAAGAAACTGTAATCACCATGATCTCTGCAGAACTTCAGTTAAAACTTGCACACATCTGACCTAATTCTCAAAAAATGAAAACCTTCAGCAGCTGCGTTCCTTTAATCGCTCGTGAGGAAGGGAGGCACTGACTGGCAGCTCACCTCTGAGGCAGCCCCAGTTTTTGAACAAGATGGTACAGGATGGGAAGCTGTACCCGGGATATCTTCTCCTCCGGCTCCCTTCCCAGACTGCAGAACTCTTTTCCCTCCGGGAATTGCCTTTTGTTAATAATCAAAGCCAAACGAAAACAAACAGACAATAGAGTACTCTGTGCTCTAAGTGCTGCTTAATTTGAAAGTGGGTTGGCCAGATAACTAGTAACTAGTAGCTGGCACTCCAGCTGTTGACTGTCAAAATGGGCACTGAGCCTGGCTTCTCAGTGGGATGTCCCTGCTGTCAGGAATCGTAAGGCATGGGTATTCCTTTTCCCGGAGCATGGCATGTCGGAGGAAGTACTGGAAAACACGAAACCCCAGCTGCTAGGATCACATAGATGAGAACTGGTTCCTAGCGCCCACCTGGTCTTGTGGGAGTTAAAACCTGCTGGTTCTATCCAGCGAAGACTGGGAAAAGGTCATCGCAGACCAAGTCACGTTAATAGCTGAGGCAATGACATCATTCAGAGCTCGGCCAGACTGCAATCTGGAAGGCGGCTCTCCAGGGACAAGTGTCAAGCAGTGTCCAGCAGTAAGGGCTGTCACGCTAGGACATCTCTGGTTCAGCCCAGGGTTGTGTCATTACCCCCCACTACCACTGGGACCCCTGCCCACTGCCCAATGCCCACTGCCCAGTGGCACACAGAGAGCTGAACGTCCTGGGGCTACTGTTTTGGTCACCAGCTGTCAGCGCTGTGCCCTTAGTAGGAGAGGCACCATCCCTGCAGTTGCAGATTGCCAGCCGCCCCCTCGGGGGCAGACAGCAGAGCACACGCAGTCCTGCACAGGGGCAACAAGCGAGGATTCGCAGGGCCAGGGTACAACCCAGGAATATTTCAAACAGGGAGGTTTTTAAAAAAGAAAAGAAAATTACAGGGGATTACACTAAGAAGTGAGGCAGTAGGGGTGGACTGGGGTGGGGCAGCAGGCCTGTTCAGAAGGGCAGAATGTCCTCATGAAGAGGAGCGCTGGAGTCCTCAGCGCCAAGGGCAGACAGCGGCACCCCTGGGCTCTTGCTACACCCAGGCCGCACTGTGTCCATTTGCCCTGTCACCCGTGAGCTCTTCAGCGCTGAAGGGCTTCTTGCAGGCTTCCAGGAGAAAAGGCGCTCAGGGTCTTGAGGAATGGAGCTCTCCCCGGCAGACACTCTCCGGACGAGCTGCTGGTTTGCCGCCGCGTCCAGCTCTTTCCAGTCCCTTTCACCCCCACGACCCCACCCCGCCGCCCAGCGGCTTCGCGTGCCAGAGGACCCAACAGGGCCATCGCGAGTCTGACTCAACGCCCCCCTTCCCCAGCCCTGCCACGGTTCTTATCCCAGAAATCAGGAATGACAATAATGTTCCCACTGCAGATGCCCAAGTACAAATGAGCTTCCATTTCCCTTTCCACATTCCGGAGGCTCTCTCTTCTCCCGGGCTTTCAGCTTGAGCAGTCTGCTCTCCTGCCTCCTCTCGCTGCCAACTGTTTCCTTTTTGTTTTCGAGCCGTGTCTGTGCTCACGCTCATGAGACGCTCCGGAGAAGGAGAGAGGAATCACAGGCAAACTTTAGGGCGCTGTGTCCTGCTGTCTGGATTCACTGCCTCCAGGGAGTCAGCAGAGACAGACTGGGGTGGGGTTAGGAGGAGTGGACTGGGGTGGGTCAGGAGGGTGGAACAGTGCTGGCGGTATGGATCGGTGGACTGGTGTTAAAAAACAAAATTCTGGTTTTATCTGCGATGAAGGAGGCTCTTCTACATGCTGACTCTAGATGACTCTGGGGGATGGGGGGATGGGGTCTCTTCAGCACACTATCACCAGTTCATCTCTGGCTCTGAGCAGCAGGGGAAAGATAGAACAAGTTTCTCACAATAAACGCGGGCAGGCATCCAGTATACACAGTACAAAAAAAAAAAAGATTGCAGATTGGCCAAAGCCGGTGTCTCAGCTGCAGACTAAACTGAACTTTGATGGACTAAATCTGCCCAGCTGATGCAGGTGGGGGTTATTCTGTTTGACAACTCATAAAAGGCTATCTCCATCAGGACATTAAACACACCGGACCAAACCATGCCTTCATCTGCAATACATGAATATGTTTCTACTAATAAGTGATTTTAAACAAACCACAACAGGTTTTAAATGAAGCTTGTTTTGCTTGTTAGGCTGCTAGTTATTATATTAACATTATACACCAGGGCCAGTTAACTCTAGTCCTTCTGGGCTGTACTCTACAGGTACTTTTCTATAACCAACGGATGAAGATAAACAAACAGGAGTTCTTATTCACTAATTAGTAATTAGATGAAAGTATCACTCACAGGCCCTCAAGAACTTAATTTGCCTGTGGATGCTATTCATAGATCTATCAGAGGCTACAAACATGTTTTTTCTTCAAATGCTCTTTGTATCTTCTATTCCTCAGCTCCTCACACCTGAAGGTACATTTCCCTGGTGTGAATCATTCTTTACTGCAGCCACTGTGCAGATCTGGCAGTCCCCCGCACGAAACTGACACATCTGAAACTGAACAGATTGAGCCTCCCCTCCATCTTCTGCCCAAGCCGTGGTGCGATGGGCATTTTCTGAGAACGGCAATCGGAGATTTCCCGCAGCTTGATTCATCTAAGCCCTTGGTGAAGAAGAGTGAAATGATCAGGGCTGGTCGCTTCAACAATGGCCTGAGTGGACTTGACACACTGGGACTGTGCTGATGGGGTTAAGTCTCCCATCGGCTGCTATTTTCAGAGTTTCACCGTGACAGAGGGTGCAGCTGGTTTCTGTTAGTATCCACAGACTTTTCTACACTCCATCTGGATTGCTTCTCACCCCTGCTAATGGGTCCCCTGGGGAGGAGAGTCCAGCGTTAATTTGTTTCATTTGTGACCTTTAACCCTGCAGCCCCGCCTCTGCAATCATAGCTGTTTATAACATCAAAGGAGACTTTTTTTAGGCCAGCTTTTATAATAACCATGAATTAGAGAAAAAAAAACTCACAGCACTCCTTATTTGAAGCAAGATGCTGGCAGCGAGTTCTACTTTACAAGACCCAGTTTTTATACTACACGAGAGTAGGCACCTCTACTGTCCAATTCTCCTAGTCAAACAGAGAAAGAATCACAGGATTTTCCTAGGTACGTGAAAACAATATCACGCTGTTCTCACAGCTAGCTGTTGATAGCATGCATCACCTTTTGAAGGAATCAAAGAGAACAGGCCATTCTGTGGGCTGGTCGTCTTGGACAAACAAAACCTCGAGGCTGGCTCTTTTGCTCCTGATTGTAATTGTTCTTAATGGAAAAATAATAGTTCCCACGTGGTTTATAAGCGAGAGGCTCTGAGAAAGAACTAAATTCATTATCAAGGACAAAGTGTCTCTGAGCAGGTTGCTGGTGCACCAATAGTACCAGGAGTGTATTCATTCTTCTATAATCGTGAGCATCCTGTCAGCCCGCCATCTGAGCCTTTCTGTGGACACTACCAGTTAATCAGACAACGGGATGGAATTTTAATGAAGGTTTCAGGGCAGGTGCCTATGAATCACCACACTCCCCCCATCTCTTCCCCTCTAAAAATAATCTACCCTAATCTGCCCGTGACCTCCTCCCTTCCCTCCCCCCCTCCATCTCATCCGTTAAGAGTAAGACAGTCAGATTTGTCCGGCCGGTAATTAAACTCAAGCAGTAATCCATTATCTGTGAGCCAATCGAAACGGGAGTGTGGGGGGGATCCCTGCTTAATGATCTGCGTGCTTTTCCTGTTCAAGGCTGAATCAATCCAACCCGTCAAATGCAAGCCCTGCGCCACTCCACGCGGTCTTGTACTCTGCAAGCCTTGCTGAGCATTTGCCCACATCTTCCAGCAATAAGGGCCACAGAGATCACACTCCTGAAAAGACAGCTCCATGGTCACTGACTGACGGTGCTGCACTGTCATGTTGTGTAGCCAAAAAGTCTTTGTCTGCCACCTTACCACAGAGGTTAAACTGAGTACCTCTCTGATATACTGTAGCTCTTTTGTTTTCCCACATTTGTACATTATCAGTTGAATTTTGCAGCGTTCTGCATGAGCATCTACATGAGGCCCTACGTGACACACAAGGCCAAGCTACTGCTATGCCTGCACTGCTTTGCGGTTACTGTCCTACTGCCTAGACACCCACCACAGGGTTAAAGCAGAACTATGTTCTCTATTGCTATCTAGTTAAATCATATATGGACTTTATCTTTTGTATATGTTCCCCCTCGAATGTAGCCACAACTCCTAACACAATGGAAATACAGGAACAGGCTGTCTGCTCTTCTGCGAGGCGTGTAAGAGACAAGCCCCCACGAGTCTTGTTTATATAAAGCAAAAGGCTGGCAAAGCAGGGAGAAGAGTAATTTGAGGCACGTACCTTCTGCACCCCAGAAGCCCCCCCCCAGACAGCTTCCGAGAGGGTTATCAATAATTCATCTCTTTTTCATACATTGATCTCAGCTTCAGCTCACTTACCAAAAAAAAGCCCTTGAATTCTAAATGTCTTGCATTGAATGTGGGTAAGCAAAACGATGCTGGCAGTCTAGCCACTGAAATATTCACCCAAAAGCAAAAGTAATGGTCTAGACTTGGTTAAGAGAGGAATGCACAGCTCCCCTCGTTCTCCAGCACATGGAGTTAGCTCTGGCTGGGTGGACCTGCTGTATGAACACGGTCTCAGACTGCACAGCCCTGATCCTGCTGGCTTTGTCTGCCCGACCGTCTGGGTGCGAGTGAAGGCAATTCCAGGCCAGTTTCTCAGCAAATCCCTTCCTTCTGCGCCTCTGTGACTACTTTGTGGTGTTTATCCGTATGGCTTTCATAAACCTGCTCCGCACCCGAAGGCATGAAAGTTGGTGGTTAATGACCGTATGGCTGTGCTTGCAGTCTTGGAGACCTACTGATAAGTGGTCAGTGAGATTAAAATAGCTGACATCACGTTTCCCATTTGGGGAGGGGACAGGGTGGGGGGCTTCTGAGTGGCTCAGACAGAGCCCTGGCTAAACCCGAGACATTACTGCTTTGAGTCTGGTCTATGTAATTAGCTGGCTGGGACTGGAATTCCCCAAGCTGAGGCACACCACTGTCTGAGGGCACTGCCATGCCGGGATGAGCACTGTGGCTTTTCACTGCTGTCGCTCAGACGCGCAGGAGTCCTCTACTCGATGCTCACATGAAAGTAGGAGCTGTGGGACTTTGAAATCGAAAAATGGCAGATGGCGCTGGAATTGCCGGATTTCCTGTGACACAATGAGCCCGAACAGAATTGATCATGGAGAATCACCACATACACGCACTAGAAAACTGGTGAATTAAAAACCAGCCATATGAATTGACAGGCCAAAAGGGATGATCCTGGACCATCCCTTTCATATCATACACAACGGCTGCACCATATTCATTCTGAGATGCCATTTAGTGCAAGAAAGCTTCTCTAGCCAGGGTGAAGCTGCAAAACTGTCTGTGTGAGGGACACCACACATCCCGAACCTTAAAAGCTGTCCATCCAAGATCTGGGCAGTGGTGCCCAGGGCACAGAGCACACAACCACCACCGTGCCTGACCCCTGAGGGTCCACCCCCAGGAGCCTTACCTTTGACCACTAGCTCTGGGTCTTCCTCCAAGCCTGCCTTGCCCCTCTCGATGATCAGACTCCTCATTTCCTCCGGTACCTCCGACAAGCTGCGGAAAGGACAAGCAGGGGGAGGGGAGCCGTTAATCGGAAAACGTATTTTGGGCGAATGTGCATTTAAAAGTGAGAACATGAGGCATGTCTTTATTCAAAGGGCTGTGAAAGTGCGATACAAGTTACCAGCCATGTTGTTAAATTCTCACACTCTGTTTTCTTTCAAGAAAGGACTGAGATCCTGGGATCATTAACTACTATCTAAAAACTGGAGTGGAAGAGCTGAATGCTCTCCACTCATTTGCTATCTTTATGATGTTCTTATTTCACAGTGATCAACAGCACTCAGCCTCTATCAACCTAACTCTTTCAGCTCATCTGCCAGCATCACACAATGGGGCTGCCGTTACAGTCTTCTTGTCTTAGTAAATTCCACCTCTGATTATTTTATAGAGGTCTTTTGACAGGTGGTACCATAGCAGTGTAGAGTATAGCAGTGATCATATACAGTAATTTATTTATTCAGTAGGCATTTTTATCCAAAGTGACTAAGGTCAAATAATTATAATCCATACAAAGAAAAGTCACAGTTTAATAAGTCTATAGCTATACTGAGAGGCATTAAAAATGCAACAAATGAATATTTGGGACCAAGCAGTACAGTGTATTGTATGATATAGTAAGACTATAATAACAAGGCTAAAACATGCATATGTAAAATAACCTCTCAAAGACCTCTCAAAAAAGACTTATTGCTGAATGTTGCAGATTGTTATAGCTCTGTCCTTTCTCTTTAATTTTCTTTTTCTTGATTGACAGTAGTGTGAAACAAGCACTGAAAAGCAATGACTGATCGTAAACCCAGGACACTGCCAAAGAAAAAACATGATTATGTCTACTTTCAATTTCGAGGCAGCTGACATCATTTCCAAAGTCTATTTCTGAGCAGTGAAATAACTTCATTCTGTTTCCGGGACTTATTTTTGGTAAGAAAGCGATGGCGAACCTGACAGAAGGGTGAATGAACAGGCACCCTTCTGCAGATCCGGTAATCACAGGTTTCGGTGAACAAATTGCAGACTCGTCAGAGTTTCAGCGAGGCCGAGTGTCAGAGACCGAACAAGAGGCGCATTGTGGTCATCTGCAAGGCCCCGCTGCTGAAACGACAATCCGTGTTTTGTAACGGTTTAAAAATAACAGGACTTCAGGATATTTATTTTTTTTGTTGCAAAAAATGGCATCGGATGCAGGACTATTATTGAAGACAGCTGAACCTTCTAGGTCAGTATCTGGTTTAAATCCCATTAGCCTGTTTTATGACCTGATGCCCTCCCTCCCCCCGCCCACAGAATTTATTTACCTCAACCAACAGTATGTTAGAAGGAATATGGTCACTACCCTGCTTCACTTGAAAAATCAAGTAGGTTCCAGGAAACAGCCTGATAATGATTCTTAAATAATGCTTCATTATTTATTTCAAACATTTATTAGCTTATTGATTTCCTATTCGGTTCCTCTGAGCGGAAGGCTGTGTGGCAGGACCCGATCAATTGTGTGCCTCTATAGTGCTCGCTGAGAGAGATACTGTCCAGTTTATGGATAGCACACGTCTGCCTTCCCAGAGCAGGATGGGTAGAAATGACAAACTGTGGCGAACTGTTGGACAGCGTGTGTTGCCTTCTGCTGGAGCAGTAAAATTGATTTTTGTGTGTGTGTGTGTCTCCAAAGAGAAAACACTTTGGGAGAAGGGAATGCTTAGTGTATAGATTTCAAAAATGCATGACAGTTTGAGCCTTTCTGGTCAGAAAAGTCCCATTCATAGAAAAAGCCTGTGAACTCTGAGTCTGGGCTTCAGGCCTCCTGGGATTGAAAAGGGTTATTAATACGATTCCTGGTTTAAGATCTATGGGCCCAATGCTTTGTTAAATTGCTTATTTAAACCTCTTAACAGTTTATGTTCTAAACCTGTTAAAACTGGCAACACTGAGCGAGACGGTAAGTCTTTTTGGAATTGTATATATTTAGAAAATGAAAGCATTTGATTTGAACAGTCTCTTCTTCATATTACTATCAGAATCTCCCTCCCTGTCTGACTAAATGAAATGAAAATTGTTGTAAATTAAGGATGGTTGACAGCTTCAAGTCAAGACTTGAAAGTTCCTAAAGTCTCTGGCTCTAATGTTTCCTCCTGGTAGTACATTCCATGCATTATTAACTCCATGTAAAAGAGAATTTTCAAATGTTGGTGCAACACTGACTTTAAGCATGTCCCGATGTTGTGTTCCCTGATCTTTAACAATTATTGGGGTCCACCTTATTGTTTCCTTTTCAAACGCTGAAGACCTTACTCAGACCCTCTCCAAGGTGTCTTGAACTCAAGAGTGAGGAGATTAGGTTCCTTCAGCCTATCCTCATAACTCATAAGTTAAACCCTGGAATGAGCCATGTTAATCTTTGGGCTTTTTCTAATGCTTCTTAATCGGTTTTGGACAGCTGCAGCCAGAATCATATGCTGCACTAAAGACTTGTACAGTTGACACATACTCTCTCTTAAGTTGTATTATACAATTTTTGCCATGGAGCCTAACACGTTTTGCATTTTTAATTGCTTGTTTACATTGTTTATAAGGCCTCTGGGCTCTTTTCCCACTGTGTCATTTTGAGTTATGGCCATCCAGTAATACAATTGTCCTATACTGACTGACTCCGTTAAGGGCCATTCCTCCAGGCTTTGTATCACCAGCACACTGGACTAAGTAGTTCCTGACACCTGTGAGGAAGATCAGAGGTCCCGGCCCTGCCTTCTCTGTGACTGGCTCACAAGGTTACATGCAATGTTTCAACTCATGGGCTTCTCTCATCACATATGAGGATGACTTCTAATTTTCCCAAAAACCTCACTCTGTTCATTCACCCCGTCGTTTGCCAGTCGGCTATTCCAAAGACTTTCATTTAAAAAACAAACAAGTTTACAAAAGCATACCCCGTTGCTACAGCGATGCAACAATGCAGAGCAACAACAGTGATGACTGATGTTCAGCTTTCCTCAATGAAATACGGAAACACGATCAACCTTCTGCATTTCGCTGGCACGTACTTCGAATAACATTCAAAATGCAGGACCCACCGTTATTCCACTATTCTGAACTCTGGTAGTTACTTTCTGAATGGAAAGTCTCCTGTTACACAAGAGGGTGAATTCTAGATTGCGTGTCTGCTTTAGTGATTCCTACCCTGGTCTTTTGGCTTTCAGCAATCATTCCGAGATTAATTCCAAGCTTTCCTGCCATGTCTGTGGTTCTGGTCCTGGAGGAACATTGTGTCTCCTGGTTTTTGCTGCAGCTGAGTTCTTAATCACAGGCCAATTGATTTCAGTTCTCTGTTAAGGACATTTTTGTGGGACGGATGGGATTTGTATTTGGCATCAACCCTGTACAATTTTCGGAGTTTCAGATCTGCATGCTTTCAGGTGCGTTTCCAGAAATGTAACCAACTGGATCTCTGCAGAAGAAACAAATGCTCGTTGTGTGTCTGCTACGACGTAACTCCCACTGCACTGCGGGCGTGTCTGGTACAGTACCTCTCCCACTGGTGTCGTGTCTGGTACAGTGCCACGCCCTCAGTGGGCATGTGTGGCAGTGTCTTGCCAACCTGCATCTGTTCAGCGGAAACTGATCAATTAGTCAGAGCTGTTCAGTCAGAAATAAAGTTAAGCAAGCTGAGCAGAGGGTGTGTAAAGTTCTGTGGTCTGAAATTGTTGGAAACAGTACCTTTGAAACAGGGTATTTGTGATACTATAGACTGGTTGGTGAAACAAAAGTTTAAGACTCTCAGAAGCAGAGCCCTTGTAGTCCAACTGAGAGAGGTTCAGTCAGACACAAGATCAATTTCCTGCAGCAAGAAGTGAGTTGCTTTGGTTTTAATTTTTTTTTTTAATGATGCTGCTCATTTTATAGTTATTTTTTTCTAAATTCTGATTACAAATCAGTTTGACCCTCACTGAAGGTGAATGTTGTGTGCCACAAACTCTGACACACAGGCTATTAACTTTTTTGTTTGCTCGCGTTATGAAAAATGCATCAGAGAAAAAGAAAAAAATATCGAATGGCGGTATCAGTTAATGTATCAGCAAGAGGAAAAACAAACTAAGAGCAGGGCTGGTGGATTTCTTGAAGACGTCTTTAAGAGTGTCATTACATTTGCAAAAAAAAACTGGTTATTCTGAACTTGTAAAGCTACACTGGACAGGATCAGCCACCTGTAAAATCTCTCCAGATCCTGGAACACTTCCAATTCCAACCAGGTGCTGAGATTCAGCAATCTGCCTAATCTGCACACTGACTCACCCTGACTAATAAAACTGGTACAGACAGGTTCGGTCTTTTTTTTTCCTTGCGAAGTCTTGTTCTAAGCAGTTTTAATGACCTCCCCTGAAATTGCTGTCGCCAACAATCTAAGAACAGGTTCTGGTATCCAGCGTGTATCTCACAGAGGAGAGGTGTGGAGAAGGAGTTGATATCTGCCCAGCAGTTCAAACACAATAATCCCTCTGGACCTGCCTGGTCTCTAAGCTCTCTTACAGAGCTGTTTATTAGGATACCACTGGCCCACACAATTATCACAACAGCTCTGCTCTGACTTTACATTTTAACCCCTGAGCTTTAAGTTCATCACCTCAGTTTTGAACTATACACTCATGTTTACAGAAGATAAAACTACGATGTCCCCTAAAGACATGCCTGCAAAGTTCGGGATTCATGTTGAAAGCCGAAGAGAGCCAACAAGTGCCTCAACTAACTTGTAGCCAGTATTGGGGTCCAACTGATGCCCCGATTCAGGAGCCACAGTTTAGACAGATTAAAGAGAAAATAAGCAAAGGTTTGGATGGGGTGCCATTAAGAGAGGTGCCCTCTCAACCCCTTACACAAAGGAGGGATCTCTCTGGATGTGTTATATCTGATGGTCATTTGGCAGAGACACAGGAGAGACTTTACAGAGCTCACAGCTGATAAACACCTCTCCTCTCACAAGTGCTGTAGAAATTCATCACTGGCCC